GTGTGGTGAGTTGGTATTTGGTGAGTTGATTTGAGGAGAGGTGAAGTGAGTTGTGGTAAAGTAAGTTGAGGTAAGTGTAAGGTGAGGTGTTAATTCTCTTAATTTCTCCTAAATTATACAGTATTTAGTTTGAAAGTATTTACCCATCGACTAAATATCTTGGTACTTTAGTGAAAGTATTTTGTATCCCCAAGGTACCTGAGTACTTTGGACCAGAGTATTTAGCGCCTGCTAAATACTTTCATTTTTTGTACTTTGGTATCTAGCAGCTCCTAAATACTCAAGTTTTTCTTACTTTAATATCTAATAGCTCCTAAATACCTAAATATTATTTACTTGGTTATTTCGTAGCTCCTAAATACCTATGTAAATAGTAGTTGGGTATTTAGCAGCTCTTAAATACCTAAGTAAATAGTACTTGGGTATTTGGAAGCTCCTAAATACCTAAGTTCTTTTTACTTGAATATTTAGTCATCTCCAAATACTAAGTATTTGTGTGTTTAGTACCCAAAGTGGTACTTTAAGTACAAAAGTATTTAGGTGTGCCCATCACTGTTTTTGCTAAATGGTAGTACTTTTGCAACAGACACTGCAATTGCGCCACTAGGTATATATATGTATATAAAATATAAAATAACGAAAAAAATTTGGGGGTCCATGAGTTGTAAATGGGGGTTCACGGAAATTTATCTGGTTTCAATTATTGCCTCTTTATTTAACTTAAATTTTTATGAGTGGTGTATAGTGCTCTTGACTTACCGTCACTTTGTGTTATTTTAAGGCCACCTGCAGACTAAAGAGAACCGGATACTGGTATGACAATGAGTGAGGCGCGGCGAAAATTGCTGGCGGCAGAGATTTAAGCACTTGTGTCTTTTCAAACCTACAGGATAGTATGCCACCATTACCTTTGTTGAAGAGATTCTATTCCCTGGGACTGAATTCTGGTTTGATTCCATCGGTGAGACCGGACTCACACATTGTCGAATCTTCACTGATGGCTCAAAAACTGACTCTGGGTCATGATCTGGGGTCTTTTTCGAGGTTAATGGAGATAAGCTTAACTTTTGAACTTAACTTAACAGTTTTAGCACTCCCACCTTCGGCAACCGAAGCCACCATCAGAATCTGAGTGAATACTTCGCTCAGAAATGACTGAGGGGATGCAGGTGGGCAAAACTTATGTTGCCTTCAATCTCACAAGGTCTATCTAATTTTTTGCTCTCATTGAGCAGACGACACTGCAGACAACTTGCCGGACTGCTGACTGCTCACTTCACGTGGCACAAACACCATTTGCGCATCTTGCCTTGAAGAAGATGAGACAGTGGAACACTTTTTGTGTTTCTTACGTGCTTGCTTATTTGTCATAGATTTTTTTTAACTCGTTCTTTTCTCTATTGTCAGTTTCTGAATTAAAAGTTTGGCGTAAAAAGCTTGGCCGTTTTGATGTTTTAAGTTTTGTGTTTTAAAAATGTGATAAATATTTTTCGCCTCACTAAAAATGATGCCATTAACACAAATAAACTATTTTACATATACTCCACGTGCAAGGCATCAGTGACCCGAACATTTGATGAGTTTATGGAGAAGATAATGTAAATAACGCTAGCACTCGCAGTGCTCTTAAAAAATATAACTCTTCCGAGAACACAAGAAAATATTTTACTTATATTTTGGCCACTCTGAGTTTAGTTTTTGAATTCACCCGGAATGCAAATTTACATTGTTAGAACTAATTTTCACATTTAATTTTTTTACGAGCTTTCAGAATATTTAGAAATGTATCAGCAGGGGGTCCACCGAAACCAGTAAATTTTTGAAAGGGGTCTACGAGAAAAAGAGTTTGGGACCTCTGATGTAAACGAATAGTAGAAAGTTCATAGTCTATGCAGTGTAATAACGCTAAAATAAAGTGGAAAAAAGTGGTAATACCAGTGATTCGAGGTTATAAAAATTGTGTTAAGTGAACAGTTTGTTTACGTTCTTTTATTAAGAAAATATTAAATAAAGTAGTGAAAATTTACTTATAAGTGCAGAATACGTACATTTCTTTGATTAAAAAAATTTATATTAGGATCGATAGGGGTCTTAGTCCGGATCATAACGGTATAATAATTACGGCGGAAATAACAATTATTGGTGTTATTGAGGTTCAAAGTATCAATTTTTTAATTTTTTACATTGGAAAAAGCGACTTTATAAATTTTCAACATTTTGATGTCGTTTGAATGGTATTAAAAATATCTTTTTTTTATATACTGTTACTCCCAAAATTGAGGCCTGCAGTTTTATAACCCATTGGCCCGTAGTTATAGACAAGTTAGAGGCAGGTTTTAACATTTAAAACTGTATATTAAGATACAACAAACTGTATATTAAGAACACTCTTTTAACACTGTCATAGTCAACTTAAAATACCTTTTAACTTTAAAACGGCGTTTTGAATTTAAAATGAGGTTGACGAGGTTTTAAAATCTTATAAGCGTACTCTAAGTAGACGATTTACTGTCAAAATTTGCGGAGAAAATACAAAAGTGGTCTTAATTTGA